CTAGGCCCAGCTAGGCCTGAGCGAAGAAGAATGTGAACCAGGACCAATTGGCTCTGAATGTTTCAGACGTTGCAGGAAGCACTGTTGGTGTCGCTCCCCCGGTGGAACTCCCTCTCGCCCACGCGGAGACCGGACACGTGGACTCCGCGCCCTTCAGGAATCCGATGTACAGAAAGTACAGCGAGCGGATCGACAAGCTCGCCAGCGTCTTTACGACCAGTGACCTGGTGCTGTGGGGATGGCGGACTGTGCCTGGCTGTGGGGGAGGTTGAACACGCCCCGAACGGAATGGGTGGTGTGTGTCCCGCGGGGCTCACCGGACCGGTTGGGCTACCGAAGACGACGAAGCCGCAAAAGGAGGGCTGAAAGGAGGTGTCCTCGTCGCTTCCTGAACTGCTCTGGGCACTGGGAATGGAGACTGGTGGCTTTCAATCTTTTGCTCACGTAGGAGGTGGGTGCAGCAAGGAACACTACGCAGGCTGATCGCAGTTGCTTAGCCTTGTCCTTGTCTTAATTTTGCACTTCCTTCGATCCACGCCCGCCGAGTGCTGCCAGAACCCCCCAATCAGATCGACCCCCACTGGGTTCGCGCCCAGGTAGCCTAACGTTGTCGGACAACCTGATGCTGATCAACCGGCACATCGTTCAGACCTGGTCCAATGCGCTGGGGAACCTGAGCTCTGCCGATGTAGAGCTCCAGGCCGGGTGCGAGCGAAGGGCGCGCGCGGGCTGGGCGGTGGTGGAGCGACGTCTCCTTTGGAGGTTCGGGCTGGGAGGACGGGCGCCAATGGGGCTCCCCATTTCACCCGCCGTCCTCCAAGCCCAGAAACCACCCTCATCGCGCACCTCAGCATGTGTCCGCTGTCCTCACCACAGGCGGCAGATAGCAGCAGCGTTTGGGCGCACTCCTTGGTCCTGTGCAGCGCCTCCGAATTCTTCAAGGTCCAGAGGGGCGAAGCTGTGAAGCTGGGAGAAGGGGCTGACGGGGCCCAAGACCGAGTGTGAGAAGATGGAACGGTGCTGATCTGAGTGTTTTGATCGTTTTTGGGACAGGGAGACTGCCGGAGATGCCTATGGTTTTTTTGGGGGTCGGTCGCATGGCCCTTCCACCTCCCCTTCCATGGTTTTGTTCGTCCCGAGCCGCCGGAACAGGCGGCGCTGAGCTCTCCGATGCGCGAGGGGCAGACGCAGAAGATCCCGTCCAACGTGTCGGAGGAGGCGCTGCGGCACCTGGTGAGCTTGATCTACACGGGATGTCCCGACAAGGCGCGGGGTAGGTGGACAGGTGAAGTGCTTGAGCCATACAGAGAAAAACTGCATGCACTTGTGACTTGTGTGTGGTGCGTGCGTTTCCTGGCAAGGAACATCCCATGTCGATCCATTTGGAGGCGAGGTTGGGAGGGGCATGCTGGTGGGTGGGTGGGTGGGTGGGAGGAGGAGCATTTGGTCAGTATGATTATAGTGGTGACCCGGTTGAGGGGGTCGAAGCCTTAGCCAGGGCCCCATATATAGATCCTCTTATCTCGGGTCTTCTTGGATGCGACGTGGCACTCCGAGCTTTGAGCAGGCGTTGGATCTGGCACATCGGTGGCAGTTGGATCACCTGGTCGATGCCTTAGAGACCAAGCTGGTGAAGGCACGCGGGCACACAACGCAGGGCGGAACGCAGGGCGGAACGCAGGGCGGAACGCAGGGTGCAGCATGCGCAGGGTGGATGCTTTGGTTGGGGTCTTCGTGTTCATTCCACCCTTGTGTTTCATCCATTGCCCCTTCGAGCCCCCTTCATTCCTCCCTTGTAGTCGTAGGTGACCTGTGGTTTTGGCCAGTTTGGTGTTGGCCAGTGTTGGCCCCACAGCCATGAGGGAACGGTCGACAAGAATGGATCAAGGAAAGCTTCCCTGAGATCCAACGGCTCTTCTCTGGCATCAAGACGTTAAGATGTGTTCATGTTTTCATTGAGCCATTGTGTCCGTCTTGTCACCCTTGGACACGCCACGCGGGGTTTTGGACGGGTCCTGCGGGCCCCAAAGGCGCTCCAAAGGGTAGCTCGCTTCGAGACTGGAGTACAAGGATGTACAAGGACCAAGACCGTTCTTCTTTTGACAGGTTACTCCTTGAGTCCTGATTTGAAATAGAAGGACGGTTTGTAGTTGGACGGTCCTTCTTTTGGAACCAACGCACCGTCCCAAACGGAGCCCGTTGGAACGACGGTAGTTGGAGCCTGGAACCGTAGGTCCGCACCCGATCTCGCCAGGAGTTGCCGGACATCACACGCTTGGAGCTCAAGGAGCACTGCACCGCGGGGGGGGGGGCCGTGGAGTGGCGATGTCAACCGCGGTGGCGCGTGGAGCAGAGGTCGTAGTGTGACCTGGTTCGAAGGGTTCGAAGGGTCATAACGGTTGGAAGCACTGGGCGAAACCACTTGGCGAAGCACTCTTCTGTTTTTGGGGGTGTGCGGTTGCGAAGCGACCCGTTCCGGCGAAACCAGCGTAAGACCCTGAGATCTGTAGAGATACTTTACCCTAGGGCCTAAGAAGAAAATTGCACCAGCATCGACCACACCAGCATTGGTTCAGTTGGATTGTTTTCACAGCCATGGCATACACAGACACAAACGTACAATTGTGACAAAAACAACTCTCAATCTTTTTCATTGGTAGAGAACTTGGATTGATATTTTCGGAAGCGTATTTGGGTATTTCGATTATATATGCAAGTTTGTGCATTCAAAAGCATGAGGTAATGCGTCGCAAGGCAACAATAACAATATATACAACCATAATATGTTTTCAGAAACATGACGTTGCACTTCAAAAGTCGCCGCCCTGACACTTCAGAAGCGTACCGTTGGGCACATGTGAATTTTGATCCTGTAAGCCTTCCAAAGTCAAAGCGCGGCCTTTCCAAGAGCATTGGGAAAATAATTTTATCATTTCGATCGCAAGGCGTTTGCTTTCAGAACCGTGCGTCGTGCTGAGATCAATGAAAGATGTCAGGCGCGAATCCAAGGGCATAACCTTGGAAGGGTTCAGTGCTTTTGATTGTTGCCCCTGATGCGGCTTGACTTGTGACCTTTCAATAGGTTTCCCCAAAAAACAGATCCGAACTGATGATGCCAAGTGTTGGGGATTTCCACCAGCTTTACTTCGTGGTTTGGAAGACCCTCTTGGGTTTGCACAAACTACTGGGATCTGAACACAAAATGCCTGGAACCCAAGGAACACCGCCACGGAAAACCCCTGCGCCGGAGCAGCCATGAGAGGACCAGCTCCAGCTCATTGATGGGGCGCTGGAGCAAGCGGTGCTGAAGCGTTTGCCACGGCTCCGGAGCACATGCCACCGGCTGGTGACGCAGGAGCAACGGCTCAAGGATGCCGCTTTGCGCGGGGAGTTGGGCACGGTGGCCTGCAAGGACCCGGGGGACACCGGGGGGGGGGAAGTTGGGCGTGTGCATGGGAAGGTTTGTTGGATGGGTGGAGGGGTTACCGGTGACCTGATACGACGCGTTGGTGTGCATTGCTGGTCTTGGGATTTGTGGGGTGTACTGGGCAAAGATAGACGTGAACCGAGTCTGCCGCTGGTGTTTTGCAATCCAATTCGTATTCCTGAGTCTGCCGCTTCGACCCGTGCTGGTGGGGCGGGCTACGTACATAGCTCCAGGGTGGGGCTGTGCGCTCTAGGCCTCAGCGGGCCTTGTAGGACCTGGCCGGTGTGGTGCGAGAAGTGGCGGGCACCAAGCGCAAGAAGAGCACCTTGGAGCTCACCTGATGTACCACTAGAGGCATGGTATATGTCGGTGTTACGTCCTGCATGGGTTTGTTGGGGGAAAGGCGATGCCGGTGAAGATGTGGAGAAAAAGAGGCGAAAAGAAGATTCATTCCGCGAGTGTGTGTGCTATTTGATGTGTACCATTACCGGACCCCCCCTTTAATCATAATCAAGCAGATGAGCGGATTAATCTACACTCTGATGAACACCATGGTTACGTGGATGGCATGGTCCCTTGGAAGATGACTTTCCTTGTGAACTCCACGCCCGGGTGAACTCCACACCCATGATGAGTGAGTGCGAGTGTGATGTCCTGCTGCTGCTTGCGGTGCCGCCAGGTGACGCGCGCCCAGTGGCGCGTCTGCTTCCTCCGAATTGGCCGCACCAAAGCCGCTCCGGTGCCCGGCCCGCCCCGGTCCAAATGTCGGCCGGGGGCGGCGGGCTCCGGCCCCGGTGGCGATGTCGCCCTCCGAAAGGACGCGTGGATCTGGGGTGATATAGAACGACCTCCAGACTGGGTGTATGAGTGACTTTAATGCTTCCTTTTGTTTTCTCAAAGGCTGGTGGTGCGAGACTTGTTAACATTTTGCAATGTGCACTTCCGGAGGGCGACTTCTCTCTCTCAGTGAGGCTTGTGATGAAGACCGACCAGCCGTCGCCAGCAGGTTCCCTCGTGTTCTCCAGGGCCAGTGCGTCACACTCGCAACTGGCGGAACTGAAGGGTTGTCATGCGAGCATGTGGAAAAGGACCGGCTGCCGCACCAGGAGAGGTTAAGTTATAAGTGACCTGAACTAGGACCCGTCACCTGGGGTACCTATGTCTTTGTTGACAGTCTTGTTGGGGCTGTGCTTGACGGGTCTGGCGATGTGGAGCGCCGAGATGACCTGGAGCTCCTGCCAATACCAGCAAGACATTGAGCGATTTCCCGAAGGTGTCCAGGTTTGTGCCAGTGGGGTTGCGAACAGACTGTGAAGGGGCTGATGAATGAGATCTACTAGTATCTACTAGTTCTATTGTGACAGTGCAATTGCTAGGCTGCCGTGGTCAGGATGGTTGTGTTGCGAAGGGGTTTGACCCACGCTACCCTTTCAGTTTTCTGAAGCCAAGGAATGGCCAAGGTCGTTTTGATGAAGTGGATTGGAGTAGTTTCATCGGGAAGATTGCAAGGGGAAGGGCCACGAAAGCCGCAGCGCGGTCTTCCCGCAGCGCAGTCCGTTCGCCGTTCGCCGAGTTCAGCTTTCTCTTCAACGTGGCCATCACCATCTTCCCGGAGAGCAGCCTGTGAGCCCAGCGCATCGAGTGACCTCGCGGGCGACCCGTCCGTTCCCACGATGTGACGAGACCAGCACATGGGGGGGTGGGAAGAGGAAGGTTGTGCATGAGCAAACCACCCATCACTGTACTGCAAGGGGAGCGCCCGCGCTGATCAGTCTTTTTTTAAGCTGTGGAGAGTGCTTGATGGGTGGGCTTCTTCTCTTAAAGCTTCTGCTTGAAAAGGAAGGATGCAACTTGGAAAGGCCGCTGAGTGGCGCGGTCCTTTATGTCCCCTAGCTGTTTAGACTGCATCAGGAGACTTTAGACTTTATATAAACTGTACATGTTTTCAATTACAATCGGAAAAGCTGCACACCATATGTATGTATATATATATATGTATGTGTATATATATATATACCAATATAGTGCTATATATACAGTAGAGTTCTTTGGAATAACGCTGAATGATACTGAATGCCAGTTCTTCCAAATAGCACAGGCTAGTTCGCACGGATCTGCGGCGCGATCTGCGACGCGATCTGCGACGCCACGTCGCGAGGTGCACATCCCATGCGCTTCTTGCTGCATCCCTTCGGAGAAGGACGTGCCATCACCTCCATGCAGGAGCGCCCGAGCGCCCCCGACCTCCCAATTGGTGCTTTGACAATCCCACGCCACTCGGAGGGCTTGACAAGTGACAATCCAAACGCCCCAATTCATGCCAGAGAGATAGGTGAGCATCCCCTGCTGGACTGTACCTTGGAGCCTCTTTTCTAAATGAGGAGGGCGGGGGTATGGTTCTGGGTCTTCAGAGCAGCTTCAGGAATTACATTCTACAGCTGCAAGTGAGAGGGGGGCTTGTCCTGAGCGCCTTCCGTTGACATGGCATTTCTATTCTGCTTCCCTTGCGCTTTTGAGTTCAGTGATGGGCATATGCATCGGTGCCTTGGTGGACGTTGCCCCCACACACACAGATATGAGATATGTACATACACAATTATACACATATAATTACATACATACAGCACACACACACACACATACGACAAGACTTCCCAATACGATGCTCGGGAGTTGAGTGCTCCCAAGTCACAATCGATGAACGGTAAGCACTCTTCGGACACTCAGTTTCCCATGAGAATGATCACATTTGGAATCCAGAAGCTTCAACTAATCTCAACTAATTAGGAGGGTCAGATTTGCTTGCGCGTGACCTCAGGACATCTCCTTTCAGGTTCGTGCTTCAGTGCACTTGTTCCACGTGGGGCGGCCCTGGTTTCAGGGTGTTGTGGGACCGAGTCGGAGATGGGTTCGCTTTCGCCAGGAACAGGGTCACTGGGTAAATCTACCAAGTCCAGTTGAGCTGCATCCAAGATAGCTGCCCACAGAACGCGTCCGTTTATACAGAACTGAGGATCTGGTTTAGACCTAGCACACGCGGACGCTCTTGGACCCTGGAAGCATCCCACACGCCTTACACCCAACCGGAGGATTCCAAGGGGCTCATGAATGGACACTCATGCGGGGCAGGTGGGGATATTATCTGCGTATTTGGCTTCTAGCAAGGGGACGGTTGGAATGATCTGCCAACTCAAGGTCTTAGTGCCCGGAAGCCTCTTCATCGGCTATTTGCTCTTCCCATTGCAGGGCTTCGTGTGGCTGGGTGGCCCATGGGATTGGCAGCTCCGTGGATTAGGGCGCGGCCACGGCAGCATGGGACACTAACCTCCCGAACTTTGTATCTTCGGGGGACATTCCTCCCGAGCCAATCTCTTTGATCTATGCGAATTTGATTTGTCTTCCACAAAGTTTGCCTTGCTACTACCTGGTAGGAGAGCCAGACAACCAGCTGGACGCCTCCAGTTGCCTACTTGACTGTTTTTGAACAGGTAGTAAGTGTGGAAGACTCATCCCTTGCTGTATCACCTGTAATTGGGCTGACAAGGTGCAACCCTGAACGTCATATACATCCTCCACTTGCATTAAAACGGCCTTCTGTTCGCTCTTCCAGCCACCATGTCCTAGCACCAAGCTCTGCCGTCGCTTTGCGCAGCAGCGAGGCCTGCGGTGTCGACCATGTCCTTCTTGCGCTTTTGGTCGCAGCCACAGGGGCGGTGCGTGTGGAGAATTGGACGTGGACCGCAGCAGTGATGGGGTGGCCATTTTGATCTTCAACGAGAGGAGGGGTGAAGTGCCCCATAGAGCGTCGGTGTAGCGCCCAGGCACAGCCGTAGCTTTACCGCCGACCTGAGGGCACGCGAGGTGCGCCGGTTCTTTGCCGAGATTGGGTGCGAACAGGGAGGAATCGCAAGAATGCAGGGGTGGGTGAGGGCGTGGAGCCCGCAACACAACGGGCCATTCAACATGTCACATCAGCACAATCACACACGATCACACCGATTTGATGAACTCACACACACACACACATTGATGAACTCCCATAGTTCTGAATCTGTCGTGAGAACCCCAAAACTGCACCCTAACCCTGGAACAAAAATGAACAAACCCTTTGGAATCAAACATCAGGCTCCATCGACACACACAACACGTCGCTCAGCGGCTCGCGGCGTGCATCACTTTCAGGCTGAAAAGGCCATGGAGCCTTTGGGCATGAGCTTGGGCCACGACTACATGGGTTTGGGGGGGCCCAGCCCCATGTGCAGTGATAATGGCAGGGAAGGAATGTGCTTGGGGTGGTGGGCCCTGGAAGGTGTTTGAATGAAGGTAGTGTGTGGGTCCGAATCCTCATGCTGTCTACACGTGCAGTGCAAATACTACAATCGCTTGGCTTCACTACGAGAGAGTTTCAAGCGGTCCCTATCTTGTTGTGAAGAACCCCAACTACCTTTGACACAACCGTTTCTTGTTCAGGCCTTCAGGGTTCCGATTTCTCCAGCATTGACAACTTCCATGTGGCAGTCCTGTCTTCTGGTCACTACCTACGTGGGTTTGTGCTGCAGGACGCTCACGCCAGGCTCCGTCACGTCCCAGGCTTCGTGGTGCAGCCCTTGTCCTGCAGCCTGACGCTCTTCTTCGCCTCGGGCGTCGCCTGGTCCGGGCCCCTGCTGTTTTGCGGTGCCGTGGATGGCATGCGTGGGCAGGTGCTGGTGAGGCAGGTCCAGTTTGCTCCGTTTTTTCTACCACTTAAGATATGGTGATAACGAGGCTTTGGCGTGGTCACAATGCGCAAAGGGGTTCCGGCAAGATGATTGCAACTTTCGTCCGGGACAACTCATGTGACTCATGTAGTGCTCTTTGGTGATAGACTTGCCCCCCCCAAATGAGGACTTTGCGCGCTCTTTGCCGAAATAGCACCTTCGCACTGCTTTGAGGCATTTATGCACACCGCCCTGTTTCATTGCATTGTGTCATGATACTTGCCTGTACCAAGAAAGACTTCGACCTTCCCAGTTGCAGGTGGTAGTCAGGCGTTAGTGAGCCGTCTGAGCAGTCATTTCGCTTTCAATTTTTTCACTCTTTTGTGTTGCTGTAGGGATTTTTGGACTGCCAGCAGCTATTTGCTGCCACCGTGGCTCAAGCAGGACGAGGCCAAAAACGGCGGGGCCCGGGCGCGTCGCATCGCGATGCCCGGAGGCCCCCCATGCGCTGTGCATCGGGGGTGGTAGCGCTCTGCATTCTGCAGAGCCTGCATCATGCGCATGCGGTTCTGGACATCCTCACCGGCTTGAAGCTACTTGGGCGGAAAGAGCGAAGATACTCAATTGCTGTGGACATCGGTACCTTTTTGTCTTCGGAAAGTAGACGGTCTCTGGGTTGCAGGCCGGCACCCCGTTTTCCTCCAACACGACTTCAAGAAGTGCGGGCGTGCTGACGGAAGAAGGACCAAGCCAAGAATCACAAGTTCCCCCTTCACGTCCACCCAGCGGCGGCGCGAGCCGAGGATGCCAAGGGGCTTGGCATTGGACCTGCCGGGAGGACGCATGTACTGGGCCGAAGATGGGACCAAGAAGCTCCGCAGCGCCACCTTGGACGGACAGGATATCCAGGACGCTGCTCGGAAGTGGGATCCATGCGGATGGTGGAGAGGGGTGGGTTGAGGGTGATGGGGTTTCTTGGGTTTGAGGGTTGGTTGTGGAAGCCTTGGAGTGGATGGCAGGGGTTGCAGGAACATGATGGAAGGGCTTGTGTTCAAACAGTTCGTGTTCGCTTCACAAAAGTTGCCGACTGTTGTGGGTTTTGGAGGGTTTTGTAATTTCCTCAGATTCGATCTGCTGCAGAATGGCGATAGATTCTTGCGTGGGAAGGTATTACCATGTATTACTGTAAATGGAGCCCACCTCCATGATGTTGTCCGCGCTTGGACACATGTCGGTCGGGTAAGCCAGCACACAGAACCCCAAATGGCACGTGCCTTGCATCTATCAGACTATAGTGTTTGTCAGTACCTCCTTCGCCTGTATCCATTTGCTCATGTCCAAGCCCAGGTACTTATTCGTCAATCCAGTTCCCATTAGATCAAGGCCTCACTCAACCCCCCGGTGTTTGTTATCTTGCATCTCAAGAGCACCTTCAACAGCTTCCAACTCTGCCCGCTTTGCCCCCCCACCACCACCGTCCGCCGCCCGGCCGAGGTCATTGTAAAGACCGAAGTCCAGGAGGCGCCCCGCGACGTGGCGGTGGATTCCGAGAGCCGCAAGGCGCGCTTTTCGGCCGCCGCGCGCTGCACCACCTTCGCGTGGGCAGCGCTCCGAAAACACGAGCACCGCGTTTCTCGTTCTCCGGTCGGCGGTCGAACACCTCCCTCGGTCGGGGCGTTTGGTGCCGGAGAGGTCTACTGGACCGCGCTCTGCTGCGGTCTCCGGCGCGCGGACCTGGATGGGCAGAACGAGGAGGTGGTCGCCAGCGCCGAGTTCGCGAGTGGCGTGGAGGAAGCAGACCGCGCCCATGTTAACACGGGCGCGGCCTCCGGCTCGGCCCAAGGAGCCAAGAGCAACGCACGTCATCACGGTGGAATCCTCGTAATGTAGACTCTTGATTGATAAGCTCTCCATATGAAGAGCATTTCCAATTCAACTGGGAGGCTCTATTAGTCGAGAGTCTACATTAAACATAAAAGGATTGATAGGCTCAGATTCCATCCTCAGTGCCCAGGATCCTCTAATTCGGAGAACCCTAATTTGTAGTATAGAGGCTTTTGGTCAACCAAAAGGGTGTCGTTTCTCAGTTACCTCTATGCCCTTGTGGCCCTTTATTGGTACGTGGGTATCCCACCAGTTGGTGAGACAACCCCAGCACGGCACACTCACTCGTGTTGTTAGGGCTCACCTTGTACAGGTGAGTCAGGTGATTTTCTCTTGCCCTGACCAACGCTCAGGAGGCCATTAAGGGAGAAGTGAGAAGAGTCTAGGAGGCTCTCAAAGAGGGGCAAGTGAGTCTACAATCTCTGCACTTTTTTTTTTGTCTTTCAATCCTTCAGTTTTTGCCTTTGGAGCCCCATCTTGTACCTGAGTGCCACCCAAGCACACTCACCCCACGCCCAGCTCTCAAAGATCCGAGCTCCCCACTCACCACGCGCCACGCAGCCTGCGCCTCAGCCCAGGTGGGGTGGCCATCTTGGAGGGCTTCGTCTACTGGGCTGATTGGATGAATGGCCCCTGGGCGACGTTCAGCCTGAGGGACCTGGGGCGGTGATGAAAAAACAGGTCGTCCTTGTCCTAGCCAAACACATTTAATACATGTGGTCACGTGGCTCGTTTACAGGTGTCTGCTGGGTCAATCCTATTCTACTGCACCTGGCATCAAAGCAAGCATGATGACATGTTGTCCGACCAGTGCAAATTGTCTCAGCTCCCTTCCGCTTCTTCCCGCGAGACGCGCTTCGACCCGATCCCCCCGGGGCGGGGGAGGTTTGGCGCTGCGCCGAGGCCGCATTTTCCGGCGAGACGTGAGCACCTCGGGAACTGAGGACCCACCGGTTGGGCGCGGCGAAGAGCGCGCCAGGCTCACGACGCGGGTTTCGCGCGCGTGAGGTCCGAGCACTCTATGGCACAGCAACGCTGATTGGGAAGATGGAATGTTCTTCAGCCCAGTGTTTCGTTTCTCGAACTCTCAAATCCAACATCTTCGAGATGGAAAGGCCACAGGTGCAGCCACAGCATCCCCTAGTTGTAGCTCCTGGCAGGTCATATAGAGATTTGCTTTGTGAGGGCAGTGGCATCCAATCAGAGCTCAGGGCTGTAAATGAATGAACTTCTGTGCTTCGATTGAATCATCTCCCCCAACTCTTTCGTCCAATCCAAACTCATTGGACCAACCAGCCGAACCAACCTTCACTCTTCCACTCAGCAGCGTGGTAACCATGTGCAAGCTATTTTCATCTCCTTATCTTCACTCAGCACATGGGCAGCACGTGTCTCCATGTGTCTCTATGTGTCTCTCGGCCTTGTTCTTCCACCGCCCACACCGCCGGTCCCCGCCGGGACCGGCGCGACCGCCCGCGCAGAGAGCCACCAGGAGCCCATCGTGACCGGCCTGGCCTCACCCGTAGACGTGGCGGTGGACAGCGCAGCCGGTCACATCTACTGGAGCGACGTGGGCCGGGCGCGCACGGAGCGCAGCTGGTTGGATGGGCAAGAGGTGCCGAGACGCCCCGTCATGGGTGCGCAAGTGGTTGCTTTGTGACGTCCCTTTTTTGTTCCCTTCTCGTTCTTGTAAATATGTTCTTATTGATTCTATGTTTGGACTTTTGTGACTTTTGTGACGTTACGTGTTTGAGCCTTCTTTGTTTGATGTGCGCCTTTTGACCGTTGGAGGTGCAATCCTTGAACATGAGCTGGGCGATCATGAACACTTATGGTCCCTCTGCTGGATTAGTGGATGCTTTGGGCAGCTAGGTGATGCTAAGCTATTTGGGTGTGTTTTAGCTGTTTTAGCTCAGGGGATTGGCTTGGATTTTCTTGGGGGCTGGAGCTGCTGCGATGGGTGACCTTGTTCCCTGTTGTCGGTCGTCGAGGCATGGCCGTGGACGAGGTGGGCCGGAAGCTCTACATGGCCGATTTCGAGAAGACGGGGGAGCTGCTGGGCTTCCGGGAAGACAATCGTGGCTGATGTGGTGGAGGGTGGGGCTGGGAATGCGAGAAGCCGCAAAAAAGACCTCGGCCACGACGAGGCAATGGAACCCTGTGAAGGCACACACACACACACATCAAATGCAATTGTGAGGTTGTTGATGCCACGCGCATAGAAGCGTAGTTGGAGGTTGCCGTTCTCCTCCGCCCCACTCCGCCCCACTCCGAGTCTCCAGAGAGTTCCCTTCGTCGAGGTTCACCGGGAGCAGCTCGGACTACAACGGTCGGCTCATCCGCACGAACCTCGACGGGAGCGGCGCGGAGGTCCTCATCAACGAGGATGGCTGCTCGGACCGAAAAAGGCACTGGGAGTTTGGGCTTCACAAGAGGAAGTGGCGAAGAGGAACTAGAGTTCAGAGAGGCCAAGAGTCCCTGTGAGTCCAACTTGTCCTTGTCACTCACTCACTCTCCCTCTCTGCCAAAGACTGCGTAGATCCACCCTAAGGTCCTAAATTATGGCATTTCTAAATCCTGTTTCCTGATGTTTCCTGTGCTCTATGTCAATGTTTATTTATCGATTTCTGCTTCCTCCACCCGAGGCATGAGCATGCCCTATGGCATTGCCATCGACCCAGAAGCCCAGCTCGTTTATTGGAGCGACCGGAAGGCGGGCGTCATCCAACGCCTCAGTCTGCAGTGTGGCAACGGAAGCTTAGAAGTGCCCAGCCGGATGAACACCACCATGGTGAAGGCGCGGTTCACGGGGGGGGGGGACGAAGCCGCTGCATTTTTGGATGATTTCAGGGGAAAGACCTGCTTTTGGTGCGGTGGGCGGTGTGGTCTTTTGAGATCTTTCGGTCCGAGAGGCTGGCCTTTTTCGGTCCGAGAGCAACTGCCGGCACGTGGCTTCTCGTGCATCTCAAGCAGAAATCACCAACCCGGATGGTGAGCACACTCGATTCATTGCTGAGATCTAGCAGGGTGAGCCGATCCGGTGAACGACGGGCCAGGCTGACGGTGCACG